AGTCAACCCGCACCTCACGCTTTCCGGGCGAGTGCGCTATCCGTTACGCCACCAGGGCCTTTTCACCCTCTCAGCTTAACGGCTTATGCCGTAGCCTTATAGCACTCACACGTTTAACTTGGTGAGCCGGTCAGCCGTAATCATTAGATATCAGCATGGAACCGCGAGGCCGAAGGCGTTATAAGTTTTTGAAGTCGTTTGCTTTACAAGTTTTTGAAGTCGTTTTGTTAGATAACTGCTGTTTTACGCCGCAGAACGCGTACTGCGGCGTAAAACAGCAGTTATCTAACAAAAGTACAGATATCGATTTGGCGATCGACACCTTATACTTTTTGCACCGAGACGCTAGTATTCCGCTGAGAAGATTCAAAACCCTAGGTCGACAGCTAATTTCCTTTTCTCCCAAAACGCTCGAACGCAGACGGGAATTATGAACGCAGCTCACCGCAACCCAACCCAAGTACCTTTGTCTTAATTCTCAATCAAATAAGAATCTGTTTAGGTTTTAAGGAAAACACGACTGTATCGGAATGGGAAACTTTTCGCCTTCCAGGTAGTGAACGAATGTTGTTGCACTATGCACAACTTTTTCTCCTCATTCCAGCACCAATTCTAGAATGCCTAGGGGAATTCAGGTTTCAACTGCGAGCTTATTCTTGAAGCTGTGAATAGGGCTGACTATGGATCTCATACTCGTAGTGTATTTCGTTAAGAAAAAAAACATGCTTGATCATTCCTCGTATCGCACGAAACCAACAGGAATCAAGCAGGCAGTGGGAGCCACACGACAGGGAGGCTATACTGTCATCAGAACCATAAAATTCTGACCTAAACGCGGACTATTTTTGATGAGTGCCATTGAAACCCGACTATACAAGTAGATTTATAAACAGAAAAATGATGTATTGGAGCATCCAAAGGGCCTATAGATCTTACGAACACTACTCCATGCAATCGTTCTAATTCTTTGGATCTTCGCATCGCAACACGATCGTTCCCAGGCAATTTCGACGCTGTTGTCGTGAGATAGTGTTAAGTGTGCACCCCAATTTATTCACGGCTCCTTTGTGGGTACGGTGTTTCGTTGTTCGCCTACTGAAGTTACCGTACTGTAAGAAATGGCAGATGTATCTAGCATTGAGCATGCTGTACGAAAATTTATCTTCAATTATTGAGGCTTGGTTTCGCTTTCAGGGCTTCTGGATATTACGTTGCTCTTGAATACCTTGGCTAAGCACAAGATAATCGTTGCTGTGTCACAATAAGGAAGGAATGGTGAGTGTCACAGTCCTAGAGTGCGATTCAAATCAAGCATGTTAAAGCTGGTGCCATAGCTTTTTCTTCACGTTTTCATTTGTCTGCAATTATTTAAAAGCCCCATTTGCGATTACCCGATGATAGGAATCCTTTTCATGTAGCTGGCAGGCTTGTTCGCTATCGCACAGGTTGTTTCCTAATATGCACCCCACACGACGACGGCAGCACTTTTGCCGCGGCGCTGCTCACGGCGAGCAGTTTCGTTTGCTCTCCAGCCATTGTGATACAGTAGAGCCGAGTATTTCCGGAAAATTCGTCCGAAACCCGAAACCAAAGGCGCTTTCTTTTCCGCGTTATCGGCCGTATTTTACTCTATCTGGGTTGTCACCTGATTACCGGGTAATCAGAATTCTTCCCCCATAGTTGGTACTCAGGTCTGCTTCTGCAGAGAGTTGTTTTGGTTAACAGCCTACACGAGGACGACTGCGCAGTTGCTGCGCCGTTGCCCGCGGGCCGTTTCATGTGCTCTTCGGGATTCTGCTAGCGCGATTAGCTTACCGCGTTTGTCCTTGCAAGTCATTTTGCTTCCCTCGGATACCTTCTTTTTTTTCTGAAAAGGCTCATGTAGTCAAATCGTTTGTAGGCCGGGCCATTTTTTTCCAACAGTTCGTTGAATCACGGTGATTCTATATTCGCACAAGAAGCTCTCTCAGAGCTAATGGGTTGTTTCGGGCTTCGTTTCTTTTTCTGAGCAGAGACAGTTGTCGTATTGATTTCTGGTATGAAGCGAACAAGTTCGGGAAATTCGCACGAAACTCGAAACCGTGGGGATCTTTTTTGAAGCTTTGGCCGTTTTTTGCTCTTTCTCCATTTTAGGTGACCTACAAGAGAATAGTCTCTTATTATGGAACTTTCATTGGAGACCTGTGCATCGATAGACTCTCGAACGCTGATTGCAAGTATACAGGTTAAAAATGCTATGGGGATCTTCCGAACGAATACTAAAGTTCGCTGGTAAGAAACTGCTACCCGTATTTGGTGGTCAAGGCTACCCGTAAATGGGGCGTGTAGCAGGAGAATGAGGGAGCGCGCTACTAGGCGTTGCCTGCGATGCCGCGCGCGCGGACGACGAGCTGTTGTATTTCTGATGTGCTGATGATACCAGGTGTTCTTAATAGCTGTCTTTTCGAATGCGAATCAGGGGAAGTGAGGTGAACATTCTTGCCATAGTGGAACACCCCTTTCGAAAAATCATCCCTCCTTCACCACCCCCTACAAGGGGAGCGGGTCATTCAGGTCATGGCCTGTTTTTTAGAAACGGTTTGTTGCATGTTGTAGGGTCCATATAAGAATCATAAAAATAGGTTTCATTTTTGCTGTGTTCTTGGGAAAGCCAAAAAGGAGCGAAAAAATTGGACGAAAGGACGATTTTAAACATCTTGGTGGGCTCTGTTCTACCTGTAACTTCGAGCATGCACAGTTTAGAGGTTTTGGTTAACTGCGAAATAACTTCAAGAAAATTTGTCTCATAGTTAGGATTGCAGTTTCTTCAATCGTTCCCGCAGCGTCACTTTCATGGTTGAGGGATGGCAAGATAGATTTGGCAGGCCGGGGTATCGTAGCAACCGTAACCTAAGTTGCGACTGGAGCGCAGGGTCGCATTGGAGCACGAGAGTGTAGCCTTACAAGCTGTTGGTCTTGAGGAGGAAGAATTGTTGGTGTGACTCTTAGAATGAGCAGGAACTTTGTTTCTTGAGTTGTGAATGTTTGGAACATTTCAGAACTGATATTTATCATCCAGAATGAGGTGGAACTCTTGTAACTTGTATTCTGAGCACATTAGCTATTCTAGAACTTATTTTCATCATCTTGTATGAACGAAACCTCGTGCATTGTGCAGTGATACACAATATACTCGAACTTACAAATACTCCGGAAGATCAGCTTCTGTCCGTTCAGGCAACGTGACTTAGATACCCGGTGGGCGTGGCCAAAATAGGGCGAGCGCTTGACGTGGACGGATATAATTAGGCTTCAGCGCTTCTTCCTGAGCTTGGAGACGATAATTCCCTTCTTATTAAACAGCTGTGTGTTTCTACTGCTTGAACTAAGGAGTTCCGAGAGGAACAATTAACTTAGATTGGAATTTATGCTTTTTGCAAAGGTATACATTAGGCATAGGCGAAAAAGTGTTTATCAGGTCTTACGTATGATCATGAAATCAAACATTAAGCCCACCTTGAAGACAATAGGAACGTTTACTTTGTAAACGGTGCTCCCATCTAATATCTATTGCGGCACAAATTTGGGAAACACCGGTCCATTTCGAAGCCTTGCCCCTGTGGCCACGCCCACCCGGGTATCTAAGTGCACGCACCCGTCCGTTCATCCACAAGGGAACTGTCAAACAATATGAAAGGCGAAAACAAAAAAACAAGAAACAACTACTCATCTCCTCGACCTCGCGACCTCGTGGGCGGCTGTGTATACGTGAGCTGTGCATTTACCACTTTTCCTTTAGAGTTTTTACTCTTTTTTTTCTATTTATAGATTTTTCTTCGTTACACGCCTAAATTACTTAACCCTTACCTTAATTTCTGACATTTTTTTTCAATTTATTCTCCATTTTTCTCTTGTTGGTGTTTTGCTTTTGTGTTTCCTCGCTACCTAATAAATCGACCACATATTAGGTAGATCAAAGATCAAAATAATGCCACCTAAAGTACAACGTGCCAAGGAGGTTCTTAAAACCCTGTCTCAACCCAGCTCCAGCTCCACCAGCATTGTCAGTTCGCAGTCTATTCTATCTGAGTCAGCAAATTTCGAAAATATGTCGACAATGGAGCTTATAAAAAATATTATGGAGCTTAATAGAGACCCAGCCATTGAGAACATGCTCATCGCCCTTGCAGAGAAAATACCTAAGGAGTTTACGGATTTCCTTGAGAGCGATAAGCGTGAACGCAGTATACTAATTGCGGGTATTGGGGAAGCACACAGCTCGCTCCGCCCTTCCCAACGTCAAGCGGAACTCGAGGATAAGGTAAGTAAGGTGCTCGATGCTCTGAGCGTAGAAAGTCGTCCATCGGAATCTACCGCGTGGGCAAGAAAGATGAGGGTCGTCCACGGCTGGTCAAGGTATTTCTGCCCTCAAAATTCCACTGGCGTCGTGCTCTTGCGAACGCGCCTTCTCCGTAACGCTGGTATGCCTAATATATTTATACGTAAGACCATGACTTCGGAGGAACGAAAACGTGAATACGAGCTGCGACAGGAGGCACGCGAGCGAAACAAGGGCAAAGCGAGCCGGGAATGGGTAGCTCGGGAAGCGCTTGAGTGCGCATGGTGGTTCTGCCCTGACTTTCTGTTTGCTTAATACTCGTAGTTTGCCGAATAAGTTAGAACATTTACGTGCCTACATTTCGCAGTATGAGCCTGATCTGCTGTTTATTATAGAGACATGGCTTACGGACAATATCCTCGATTCTGAAATATTGTTCAATTTGCCGTATTTACTATTCCGCCAAGATCGAAAGGAGCGTCGAGGTGGCGGAGTATGTTGCCTGGTTAGGTGCAACCTTTTCGTTTACCGTGTTGAACAAGTCAACCCAATCTATGCCGACGTTCTCTGTCTGGAAATTTTCAGTCCTCCTAAGGCCACTCGTTTCCGGTTCACTGTAGTGTATCGTCCCCCGAACTCTACAAGGCGTGAAGACGATGGTCTTGTTGATGTTCTTAGTTAGATGGTTTCCGCTCAGGTCAACTCTATAATTGTGAGCGATTTAAAGCTACAGGTTGACTGGAAAAACCTACGTGCAGATAACGCTAGCGCAGCTCCCTTTCTGGATTTCTTCCATGAAAGTGGTCTTGAACAACACGTCATCTAACCGACGCACGGCAGCAACACCCTTGACTTGGTATTGCCACTTCGCACAGCATACAAAACGTATCACTTCTTCCTCCTTGCGAATTCCGACCATGCCTCCGTTCGCTTCGAGATACTGGAGGGGTTCAGTGATGCTGCACTCCTCCCTACTCCTGATTTTCTAAAAGTGAACTATGACCGCCTAAATGAGTATCTTTCGAATGTTGATTGGCTTGGGCTATTCAACAACTACGTTTCCATGGACGACATTTACTGGAGATTCTGCAAAACCATCTACAAGGCGTTGGCCTTATTCGTTCCACTAAAGTTTCCTCAGCGTCGCCCTATCAAGTATCCATTGCACATTAGGAGTTTGTTGGCTCAGAAAGAACGCTTATTTTGGATCCTGGATAATCCTATGAGTTGCCCTCTATTCAGGAAAGTTTGTAGGGATGTGGATCACTACTTAAAGAAGTTCGTATCCAATCTTGAACGCCATCTCGGTAACCAAGCTTCCTTGAAGCGTTTGCTTCAGTACGTTCGCTGCAAGTTCAAATCCAAGACCCCCTTCCCACACTGAAGGACCTTGGTTCCACAATTCTCAGCGAACCTTCAAAGGCCCAAGCACTAGGTAAATATTTCGCCAGCGTTTTCTCAGCCCCAGTTTCTTCTACAGGAGTCCTGGAGTATGGCGCGGCTAGTTCTCAAAGCGGGGACTTACATTTATTTCCACCCCAGAGATGTCTATACAGTTCTGAAAAAAAACTTAATCCTTCCCTCAGTGAGCCTTTTGACGTATTCCCCAAATAATTTTTAGAACTGCTGTGGTTCTCTTTGCAAACCCTTAGCCCACATGTTCAACATCTCTTTCCTTTCAGGACAGGTTCCCAAAATTTGGAAAGAATCCATCATAACGGTTACCCCAAACATCCCGAGGCTACAGCAGTTGCGACCGTAGGCCAATCAGCCTCACTTCCACGCCTGTCAAGGTAATGGAGAAGATGATTTTCGTCAAACTGCTGGCATGGTTCAATCGTATCAACCTCATCCCTGCAACATCACGCTTTTCTTCCTGAGTTTTCGACATGTACAAACCTTCTTGACACGATGTACGACATTTGTAAATCTATCAACCATGGAAAATCGGTAGATGTAAACCACCTCGATTTGACCAAGGCGTTTGACAAGGTCTGTCACCTGAAACTTGTTCACAAACTCGAATTCTACGGTGTCCATGGTCGGCTTTTGAACTGGTTAAGGTGTTACCTACAGGAGAGGAGTATGACGCGTAGGGACCAGTTTTTCGAGCAGGTATTCCTGCACCAGTGGGGTTCCTCAAGGTGGAGTGTTATCCCCTTTACTATTTCTGATATATACCGTGGAGTTGCCTCAACTTCTGAAAACATGTCCCGACATCCGAGTACAGATTTACGCGCATGACATCAAGGTATATTGCGCATATGAAGCTGAAGATAGGGATGTCATGCACCAAGCGCTTAAGCTGTCAGTTGAACGAATGTGTGAGTGGTCAACATCCTGGGGTATACCTCTGAACCTGAGAAAATGCTTGGTTATGCATTTTGGAGATGACGTAGCAGTCGATTATGTAATAAACGGTATAACACTCCCCACCTGGGACTCAAAGAAAGACCTTGGAGTCATTTTCGATTCGAATTTGGAATTCTCCAATCTTATTGATTGCATTGTCAAAAAAGCGTACTCTGCTCTGTTTGTTATAATGAGAAATATTCGAAGTTCAGACCCGACTACCCTGTTGCGACTTTACAAAGCGTATGTCCGACCACAACTTGAGTATTGCTCACAGTATGGAGCCCTTCTTTGAGGAAGGACATTTCGAAGATTGAGAAAGTCCAACATGTATTCACTCGTCTACTTTGGTTTAGGTCCACAAACTGTACTGGTCGGTACGATATGCCTCCCTACAGGGTTCGACTGAGGACGTTTTCCTTGCATACGGTGCAGTAAAGACGGATTTTATCTGATTTGGTGTTTTGCTTCTGTATTACTCGGAAGGAGGCAAGCTAAGGGCTAGTAAGTACTGGAGCTTCAGTCCGACCACTGGAAGGCTGGGTGGGTTGAATATTCACGATGACCACATTTACCCAAAGAAGTATTCATTAATGGTGTTCATTCATAGTGTTTAATCGTTGCGCTAGATGGTTCGTGCTGCTACCGCCTCACGTTCTTCAAGCAAATAATAGTAAGTCGTTTAAGAGTAGGCTGAGTGAGCTTGACCTCTTGCGCATTCTAAGAATACCTGACGTAGTTTAACCTCGCTTTCTTTCTCGTCTTTCTATCTCGTGTTTCAGTCTCAACGCTGGGTGTATGGTCAATGTCTTCTAGTGCGTGGTTGGTTCGTTCAAAACCGGTGGTCTATCTTGCAAGATTTTAGGAAACTGTTGCGTTAGCTGGACAAACTTTGTATTTGAATACTCCCGTCTATTATTTGCTACTCCATGATTCTGATCAGGTCACGTACTTCGGCAATATGTTCTTAGGCACCTTCTCTTGCTAATACCATTTGGTAGTAGGAGGCTGTAGGCTGGTTAATTAAAAGTATGCTTTGGTGAACGATCACGGGCTTCAACTGTGTTACCAGTTGTTTGATGAGCCGGAGGGGTGATGAACCCCTCGCTTGAGGTCCCCCTTGGTTTGTTCGCCTAGGGTCCCGGACGAATTCGTTCGTAACGGGTTAAGTTGTCACCAAGCCCCAGTACTGTTCGTCTAAAATCCTTGCGTTCAGAACCAAGGACCAGGATCTCGCGAGGGACTCTTTCATCTGCCTGAAGGGGAAAACAGCTTTACACTACACACAAGGAAGTCCGGTGATTTTTCTGATTCCGCTTCGAAACACAGCCTATATGCTTTACCTGGATTTCCTCTGAATTATTCCTTATTTTTTTTGCTCATTCAAATGTTACTGTGTTATTTCCAGTTTTCCTTTTGTTCTTTTTTTATCAGTATATCTCTGGCTGTATTATGCACTAACTGTGTTGGTTTCGCTTTCCCATAACTTGCGGCGCACCATTGAGTGTATATCAATAAACTAGGTAGAAGGAATGATGTGAACAGTAGAACAAACTCTATGCAACGTAAAAAATATAGGAAATATTTCGAGGTTGGCGTAAGCATGTAGGTATTCGTGATTATTGATTCTAAGAGACCAGGCGAAGTGACAGTGATCGTGAAATGTTTGAAGCGTACCTTTACAACACCTGTTGTCATCTGCATACTACCGTATCAAAAGTAGCCGCTCTTTCTGTGGTTTTGGAACCATACAACTATACGACTGTGTTCCCAAGCAGGATCCCTTTCGCTTGTTTTTCTAGTTGCAATTGTTTCGTGAAACATTTCCTTTTTTTTCCGGTGTATAGGACTTGTTCACTACTCTCATTCCCCTTCCCTATTGAAGTGTGTTGATATTTCTTATTAGGTCTTTTGCATTGTTTGCTATTCCCGGTGTGACTAACTGATTTCCGGAACAAGTGATTCAGGAATATGTGTGTTCAAAAAACCAAACTAATTACAAATAAATTCTTTGTTTTTATCGCAAATGTTATCAAGCTGCATAATATTTTGGTCAAGTTAATGTTGCCATAGCTCATGTTACCGAGTTCATGTTACTGATGTAACGTTACCACTTCCAGGATAAATAAACTTTTCACAGCATAGCATGCGAGAGTTTTCATTTATGGTGGACGATGAAAACCAGTCTAGAACATCTAAGGTGCCTAGAATACAAGCTACAAGAGTTCCACCTCATTCTGGGTGATAAATATCAGTTCTGAAATGTTTGAAACATTCACAACTCAAGAAGCAAAGTTCCTGCTCATTCTGAGAGTCACACCAACAATTCTTCCCCCTCAAGAACAACATCTTGTAAGACTCCACTCTCGTGCTCCAATGGAACCCTGCGCTCCAATCGCAACTTGGGTTACGGTTGCTACGGTTCCACGGCCTGCCAAATCTCTCTTCTCGAGGGATGGCATGCGGATAAGGCTGCGTTCATAGCTTGCGTTCGTGAAGAAATGCAGAAATGCGGAAAATGAAGAAGTGCGGAATCTGCAGAAAAGCAATAGATACTTATCGACTTGAAGAAATGCAGAAATGCCGAAACGCAGAAGTGCGGAAAGTGCAGAAATGACGAAAAGCATGACATACATATCGATTTAAAGAAATGCAGAACTGCCGAAAGTGAGGAAGTGCGGAGTCTGCAGAAATACCGAAAGAGGAATGTGCAGAAAAGCAACCGATACGTATCGATTTTCCGCACCTTCAGCATTTCTACAGATTCCGCACTTCTTCACTTTCGGCATTTCTGCATTTCTTCAAGTCGATAAGTATCTATTGCTTTTCTGCAGATTCCGCACTTCTGCACTTCCCGCACTTCTGCATTTTCCACATTTCTTCACGAACGCAAGCTATGAACGCGGCCTAACGCAGTGACCGGAGTGGATAGTGATATAATGATCGGGTCCGGTTTTGTACTTTTTTTGTACTGAAATCGGTGTCAACGCGCAAGCAGGACATCAGTTACCCTTATATCCGGAATTCCAGCAAAAAAATTTTCTGGAGGCCTTCTGGTGTCAATGGACGGCCATTGGATTGGCGGTGACAACAGAACTCTCATATCCCCGTGACCGTGTAGAAGACCAAGCGCCGTGAAACTTGCATTCGCGTCAGAACGTCTTTGAAAAACGCCATATTGTCCCCAGGGCAGGTGAACGAGCATCCTGGACCTCTCGCGACTCCTATCGTGCAGGCCTACATCAAAGAACTGAAGACCTCCTGCCGTAAATCTTGTCGTGATAACGGAAGTTGTTTTTCTTTGGCATTCCGGGATGCAATATATCTGTCTTTCCTTTTTTAGTTACACTTGTTAATTATGCGTTGTGGGGTTATGATTGCCCCCCGGATTGATTGTTCACAAGGTGCAAGCACAAGTATCGTTGAAAACAGTCACACTTAGGCAACAAAAAATTTATTATTTGTTAAAGCGCAACATGAATACGGGAAATGCAATGAGAGTAAGATAATAAGAGGTAGACGGTGGAGGAGGGCGCAGGAGGGTCGAAAAGGGAACCGCCGCCGATCCCGTCTGGAGATGAGTCTGAAACGAAAAACCTCACGGAACTCATCCCTGGTCTCTCCCGCCAGGCCCGCCAGATCGTAGTGGTCAAGAGGAGTTCGAGGCACTCACTGCCCCCTTCCACTGGTGTTCCGCTACTTCGGCCTGTGTGAGCTACAGTGCTCTCCTTTTCATTGGCGGCCCACCTTCTTTGACCCACACGCCCTCCCTCGGGGTTGACATCGTCCTCGATGTCGTAAATATAGTATCAGGCGATTCCGGCAACATTGCCCCTAACGCCTTCTTTCGTGCTCCCTTATAAGCACGCTTGGGCACACCGGCCTCCACATGCTTGCCTCCTTCCATTGGTGGTCCGCTACGTTGACCTCTGTGAGCTACACTGCTCTCCTTTTCACAGCGTTTGTATGCTGGCAAAAGGATAGATTCAGGTAACGAAGTTGTGGATAAGGACTTGTAGAGGATACTGATAGCCGCTATCGAACATGCAGCTAATCATCATGACTCAGGACGAAAAAAAAGTTCTGCTGAAACTCTGCATGAGGGGGGATTCTGAAGGTTCTGACATTTATAGTTGGGCGCCGAGGCCATCTGGCTCCAACATAGCGCAAAATACATAGTTGTGTGAGGGGAGGGTGCGAGAAACTTCAAGGCTGCCGCATTATATGACAACTATACTACTTTTTTTGCATTATTTTGCGTT